TCTCTCTCTCTCTCTCTCTCTCTCTCTCTCTCTCTCTCTCTCTTGTGTGCGCTCTTAGTCTCATTGCTTTGGCTACCTTAGGGCTGCGTTCCCCGCGCCCATGCGGTAGGCAATTCGATTTCTCAGAGCCAAAACAAGAAAAATGAAGTCTCGAAATCACACCCCCCCTTTTCAAGTCCATGAAATAGAGACTTCCTGGCCATGCCAAACAGCCAGCTATAATGTCCAAATTTGTTTTTTGGCACATCTCATTGGACGGGAGGCAGGGATCTTTACAGTCCCCGTTCGGGAACTACCAGGCCGTCGAGATCCGATGTAGTCGATGGCCGCACTGCGTCACTCGTGATCGAAATCCTGACGGAGTCGTGGTGGGTCCTCGCCCCAGAAGACCACTGCGTTGCAGGCTGTGAACTCCAGACTCATTTGGAGTGTCCTTCCAGAGTGCTTTCTGACAGCTCACAGGGTGTTTTCATGAGTACAGGTCTAGGCTCTAGAGTGGTGGGGCGAGGCCCTAAGTGGAGCAAGGCCTTGCTCTCTATACTCTTTAATGTTTGAGAGTGAGTAATGGAGCAAGCCCAAACTCTCTATCTAAACTAGACCTCTTGAAAATGTCCTCACCGCTGTGGAAACGTTTCATGGTTTCAAGAGTGTTGTGGCGGGGGCCTGAGCCAGGCCCAACCAGGCCCAACCAGGCCCAACCAGGCCCAACCAGGCCAAACTGAGCCAGGCCCAACCAGGCCCAACCAGGCCAAACTGAGCCAGGCCCAACCAGGCCAACCAGGCAAAACTGAGCCAGGCCCAACCAGGCCCAACCAGGCCAAACTGCGCCAGGCCCCAATGGGGCCAGGCCCACCTGGGTCAGGCCCGTCGGCTTTTTTTTTTCTTTTCTTTTCTTTTCTTTTCTTTTTTGTCCATGGTGTTGTAGAGGCCAGTCACTGAGTTCGCAGCCCGTCAGGGTTGCGTTTTCCCCCCCTGAGACATTTCAACGTCGTGCTCGTCAGGAGGGTGGGCATTTTGAGGTTTTGGGGCCTTGCAAGGGCCAGGACTGCGTAGGACCGGTAGCTGCGCGGAGGAGGCTGAGGAGGCCGCGGTCCTGAAGCCTTTTTGGAAATTGAAAAGGTGCGGGTGCACTTTTCTCGAATACCACAGTTTCCTCGAATAGAAAATGTACAGGTTGTATTCGAATACGACCTGTACCCTTTCTATTCTATTCGGATTTCGAAAAGAAAAACTCTTGTATTCC